TACGGCATAAGGAAGCCTCGTCGCTCTCTCCGTACGTCCCATGTGGCTTCAGGTTTTGTTCAGGCTATGATCGCCGATCCTCGTTTCGCCCTTCTTAAGAACGCGGCGGAGCAAACGAGCGCGGGAGGAGCCGGTGGCCGCGCCACAGGATCAGGCAAGGAGGTCAGACTTAGCGAACAGATCGCACAAGCTAAGTCAGCCGATGAAGCTACTACAGCGGTTCAGCAAGCTGTTGTCACCAAGATATCCGACATGTTCGTCATTCAAGAGAGCGAGATTGACCCTGCTCTTCCATTAAGCGAATACGGAGTGGACTCGTTGGTTGCTGTCGAGTTGCGTAATTGGCTCGTGCCAAACGCTCGCATTGAGATGAGCATCTTCGACTTGTTGGGCAGCCCATCGTTAGTTGATTTAGCGAAGAGCGTCGTGAAACGAAGCAAAGTGCTCTTTGCTGTTCAGTAGTCGGCATTTTAACTATCCGCGATTTCATTAGAGTTTATTCGTTTTAGAGTTTTGAGCCCTCGTTCATTGACAGAGGTTTGTAAGTTAGGAGGCAGTCCAAATGTTATTTACTTTTTTCTCTTAGACTGTACGTGGAAGCACACTCTATATAGATCCTAAAAGTATACAAATCATTTTCATAGTTAATCGCACACTGACAAGTCAGGTGTTTTTGAATGATCTGCTTTCTCGTGATGCATGTTACATTTTAGATTAGAAAACAATTGTACGGGACTTACTCCTGTCTATAACACAGTCGCTTTCACTGCAAGTCTCTAAGCATACTTTGGTTACTGCCCCAAGAACCTCCGTATAATACCCAATATAGAAAATTGTAAGAAAGAAGAGAGATGTGCATGTGTTCCGACAACCACTGTTGTTGCCAATTTGAATAGGAATACTTCACAATCGGCTGTCTTCTAATGGGTGCAGTTCCCTTAGTTTACCTGCCAAAGTACTTTATTTCTAGGCTCCTCAGGCCTATGTATGCAACAGCTGTGAAAGAAAAGGCCAATTCGAAGCCCACGTCGCCACCAAAATCGGCACCGCATAGTTTCCCAATAGGACCCGTATACCATGTTTGCGCGGTCCCAAGGACAGCACCGACTACGCCAACAGCAAAAGCTGATATGGCGGCAAATCCAGGTGGCAAGCATTCAGGAATTGTGTAGTTCTCAGGTCTATAGCCTTTGAATCCGCGACGGAATATAAAATGTTCGGTAAGAGAGACGCCTTCGTATATAGCAAGCCAGTAACCGATGAGCAGTAGGAAATTCTCAAGCGCTGCCTCAAAGTGCTCATAACCTGGAATTGCGATTGCAATGTAAGCGACGGTTCCAGCAATCGTCCATACGAATCGAGGAACACGCTCCGTGGTATGAGCCAAAACTTGGAGAGACAATGACACAGAATAAATATTGGGGCAGTTATTGGCGATTATAGAGAGCGCCAGCACCACGATACAGAACTCTCCAAAACGGCCAAGACGCGGCACAAGGACCTGTGCCAGCAATCCGCCGACGCCAGACTCGGAGTAGGCGTCGCTGTAGGCCGGATTCGATGTAACCCCTGACGCGATTGCGGCTCCTATGAGCTCAGTGAAAATGAGAGGGAACAGCAGCCCCCCAAACGTCCAAAAGAAGACTGAAGCGCGAGGCCTGTCTACAGGCTGATACACTGTGTAGTCACTCGCATACGATGTCCAGCCGGTCGCAAATCCGAAGACTGACGCTGCGAATGATAGCACAGAACCAGCCTCAGCTGGTCCAGTAATCAATGGGAGTCCAGCATTGAAATTCCCGGAATGCGCAAATATTCCCAGCACAATAAGGAATATGATAAAACTCGGGATCCAAGACCAACGTTCATACGCATGAACCAGTTTATAGCCAAAAGCACATATCAACAATGTCGAGAAGGCGATTACCAGAATCCCGGCATAGCCTGGCACATCATGGTTGATTGCGTGTAACAACTGCGCACCAACAATGACATTCACAGCTGACCACTACCAGATTTAGTGTCAGTAATTGCTAATTACAGTATAACATGTAATCGCATCGAAACAGAGAGATACTTCTGAGACACGAGTTTAGTCCTAAAATGAACCCTTGCACTCTCAATATTGCCGAGGAGAGAAGTTTAAAGAAGAATGGTTCGACGATTACTCACTCCTACGCATGCCAGGATATTAAAACAGGCCACTGGCGAGAAAAAGTCAGTTACCATTCTATCGACTTGAATTATTTGAGATAATAGAAGGGCTCTCACTAAGCTTAACACCATAGTAGCCGAAGAAAAAGCGCGAGAGAACCATTTGCCGTAGCCCAAACTTGGCGCCAAAAGTTGAAAAGAAGCAAACTGGCATGATGCCAAGTATGTTAACGAATATGATGGTGAGTGCGCTGTCGATATAACCGAGGTTAAACACAGGAACGGCAAGGACCCCTATAGCGAAAGAAGAGACGACCATATTGGCGGACAACCACTACTCCCTCAGTGAATATACGGAATGGTATTTTTAGTAAGGCTCTGTAGGAAGCGTACCAATGTTCCAATCTGACTCATACTAGAGTCCGTCCTCTCGTCATTTGGAACTCTCTCAATGCCTCGTTGTTCAACGCCGTACTTGCCTGCAAAAGCTTGGAGCTTAGAATACAGCGAGTTGCTTTCTATCTGCGTGTAGCTTGATGTAGTATCGATATCGATGACTTGCCCAACTTCAATGTCTATGCCCGCTAAATTTTGGCGTTTGGCGTTGCCGTCGCCGTATTTCTCTTCAACGGGCGCCATATCTTATATTAGGAACAGAGTCTACTAGGTGGCGAATAGGCAGTGTCTATCGAGTGAGTTCGTCAGTAATGCTGTGAAACATTGACGAGACACTGCAAGTTTGTATAAAGGGTCTGCTATTGAGTAACTCAGGTCGAGAATACTAGCTTATGAGGGTATAGGGTGCCGCCGAAGTCATTTTTTGGAAAGTGAAGCTGTCGAAGAGTCGGAAAAAATGATGGGAGTGGGAAAGGCCGGGGATGAGCTCCATATGCTAATGTAGAGGTATGATAAGATATGGGGTAGAAACTGAAGCTATCCGTGTAGTTGAAGTATTTGTGGACATTGACAAGCGCGAACATGCAGGTAATCTGCCGCCTTCATGATGCGTGCGTGGTAATCATTGGCTTAGGCCTCTAGATAAGGAGGGACAATGACGGGGATGATGATAGGAACCCATGCCGCGATGCATGGTGCGTCATGAAACATCCCTCAGCTCGACCGGCTGCTTGTGTACCTCGGTAGATAACACAAAGGCCGTCTTGACGCTGTTACTACTACCTTGTAGCTGAGATGTAGGCCATGATATAAGATAATAATAGTTTACCAGGTCTAAGTTGTGACAGAGGATTGTAGTCTTCCCTAATGAAGGTGTAGCAAAGAACGACGATAGCCCCATACAAGTGAATCCTGAAGCCTACGACGTCTTGCGCGCACGCAACAACTTGCTCGACCGAGCTTTACCAAGAACGTCTTTGGCTATATTGATTGAAGGTAGGAAATCTAGGGTGTTGACATGCTAGCCACCAGGCTGAGCTTCCAAAATCAGCGAAAACTGATAAGATTCTAGAAGGCCATAAGAGGACAAGCACTAGAAACTAGTATGTTCTCTGAAAAAAAGCAAAAGGGAATCGATATTCAAGTTGTAGCCACACCGAAGATGTTCGAGATGGATGCGCTGGACTCCGCAAAGGCGCAATTGATTGGGGGTCGCCGGCCTGCGGTTCACCTGGAGAATACTGCACCAGTCCATCTAGAGAATCTTGTTAGGGCGCCCCATCAGACACTGCATTAAGCCTTATCTTGAAAGGGCCGTTTTGGCTTACAGTCTTATAGATTCTAGCCTACGAATCTAGATATGACTTTAAATTGCGTAGCTGAGTACTACAACTCAAAAAACACTATATCTCTAAGGTAAATGTCAACGATTCACATCATTCACAATCCTATTTTTCCGGGCATCCTTACCACATTCCAACGCAAGCAATAAGGTAATGATCAACAGCGTAATGTTGTACCCCGTACGGGAAGAGGCCGAACCGCCGTGGGCTGTAGCCAGCCGTATGCCAACAAGCCTTCGTGTCTCGGGAGTCCCCACGTGTACACTATATCGGAACCTTTTAGGCCATCGTCTCGGTATCGTGCATCGGAAACCCGCAGGACACGGCAATCTTCACTTCAGGCGTGGTCAAGAGAGCTTGAAGCAGCAATTAGCTCCATCAGCGGCTGAAAAGTTCCGTCCGTGTAATGAAGCTTCTCGGTATGAAAGGCAGCAGTTGTTTGTCATTTTGACCCATACGTAGCGCACAGAGTAGACACGAAAAGACAAACATCTGTCTAGGCTCTTGGTAAGTTCTCATCTTGTCAGGGCATCTCCATTGCAGATGTCGCGAGCAAAATGCGGCGAGATAGATTCATGTTGAAACACTGCGACGGGGGAAACCTAGGTCAGCACCTGATTCACCTCGGAGCCCGGTACAGTGGTGACGCTAAAGTCGTCGTGGTAAGGAGAGTCAAAACCGGTCTGTCGGTATCGTAGCACAATACTGCAAGCGCGTAACACCGACTAGATCGTGCCATCATCGGCCGCGCACCGTAGAATGCCTAGCGCGCGTACGACAAAGCACTTGTGGTAACAACAATAACAAGCATCAACCATAAATTTTGTCAATATTTACACTAGGAGGTTATGGTTTGGGGGATAGAGGGTCTGGCAAGCTTGGAAATTTGTCGGCTTCTCTCGTAAAGCGATGGAGTAGGTAGGTTATTAGCAGCTTCTGCCTGTAATAATTTAGCAACGGAAAGGACTGGCTGGCTATACGGTAAGCGGACAACGGTTTCTTTCTACTGGCAGGCAGGTCGCCCAAAGACATGACCAAAGAACGACCAAAATTGAATCAAAAAGCTAGAATATATGAATACTCGTAGCATGAAGCAAAAACATAACGTCTCCCGAGCGTGAGTCGAACACGCGACCTGTGGATAATCCATGATTTCATTTCAATTACAGTCCAACGCTCTACCAACTGAGCTATCAGGAGATGACTAATAGTTGATGGCCTATTGCTAAAACGCTAACATCAAAATCCACCCGGCTCGGCCTATGCAAGCAACTATGCCGATTCAATGTACCGACGCTAGTTGCGCTGCTATTATGCTACCTAGGCGAGCTAGGTAGGTCGTGAGTACCTATTTCTTATGACAGCCATCTTAATGGGTATTGTAAGGCATTTCTGATTGTGATAATGTCTATTATCTATTGATTATATATGTATTTATTGAATATTCATTTTTACTTTCGTATCGCTTAACAAGATGTTGCCGATATGGCGGAATGTAATCGCAGACACAGGACCGAGCAAGCAAGAATCCAGAGCCCGGTTTTATTTGGGTGGCGATCCGATAGGACAACAACCTGCGGGGAGTGCGGGGGTCCTCGCAGCTTTACGAATACTCCGGTTCGTCCAATCTGGTTCGTAGGCAATGCGTTATATGGAAACGACTTCGAGCATCAGTTGATAGGTGTGATGAGGTGCAGTCAGTATTGGTAACCGACTGGTTTGAGTTGACTCTGTTTGGCTATCTTCTATTTTGGTTGCCGCGTTATTATGCATTTGTTCAGTAAGTTGCAGAACCTATTGTAGTACCTTGAATACTTGCCGATCGTGCCAGATTATATTCAATTTTAATAAGACCCACGCGTCATCTTTAGAACATTGCCTAGATTATGCTATGTAGGAAGTTCCGATACATGGCCGACCGTTTGGGACTTCTTATTGATTGCTCTGGGAGCTGTGAGTGCCAAGTGTATTATAAAGTAAAGCTCATCATTCCTGCTCGCAGGACTCTTCGTTGATTCATCCAGTTGGACGTAGATACTGTTAAGAGTGACTGTCGACCAACATTGACGCTACCCCGACATTACCATCGCTACCATCCCGGCATACGACAATGGTAATCTACTATGTCCATTCGCCCGGGATGTCTACTTAATAGTAATGAAACTCTGTCGCATATGCCGTCCAAGTCTCCGATTGGTACATCAAAGCATTTCCCCAACTTGACGTTGCAGCGCTTTTCCGATTTCAATTTGATACATGGAACACCCCCTCCCAGTAGTGCTTTTCCGTCATGATTGTCTGCCACTGCACGTCCCATCTCTTATCCACCACACCCCAGATATGCGCGTAAGTGCGGAGAGGTAAACCGATCGAACATGCCGCTGTTGTCTCAAATCATTGGCTGCAAAGACTTCTAGATTGCGGGGAAATCTAAGCTTATTTGATACCAGCATCATCAACCCCAAGGAATTCTAGGTACTACCGGTACATTATGCCGAGTGTGTAGACACTCGACACCTACCTATGATAACAGCAGACCGTGGTGAGGGGTAGGGTTTGTTACCCGGGTATGTGATGCCTGGATGAGTAGAGTATTTATTCTCTTCGAAGTAGATCTACCAATGACTTTCACGCTGCCTTAGAGATTGTCAAAGAAGGTACTTATCGTGAGTTTCCAACCTTCTGGCTATACCACATCGACTTATCCCAGAGCTACCCTAGTGATCATCTTAACTACCACCATGTCGACCACCGAAGTGCCCAAGACACATAAGGTAGGTATTACCAAAGCGGTTATCCTATAAATACCTTCCAGATCAGTCTATATATGCTAATAATATCAATAAGGCGTGCGTCTACGACCAGCCTGGCACATGCTCCATCGCGATTCGTGATGTGCCTACGCCTGAGCCCGGGGTAGACGAAGTACTGGTGAAACTGACACATTCGGGAGTCTGCCACTCTGACATTGGAATAAGTAGGCTACTGGCCCCTAACACGCAAATCTGAGGCTAACATCTTGTGTAACAAAAAGTGATGAACAATGTAGGCATCATAGACCAATGCATACAGCGAGCGTGGATAGGCCGGCCTGTCAGCTAATCGAGTTGCACATCGTTATAGTGGAAAACGCTCCCCTTGCCTACGCAGCCAGGCCAAATAGGAGGGCACGAAGGTCTGGGTCACGTCGTGAAGCTCGGCGCGGGCGCCTCGAAGACGGGCGTGAAGGTTGGCGATCGTGTAGGCATCAAATGGGTGGCATCTGCGGTAAGTGATTTCCCAAGGTCATTTTTCTCATTCGGAAGCGACGTTTGAGCAGAATACAGATCGAGGGCCGTTCTTGTGTTCATATAAATAAAGTCTTGGAATCTTCGCTAACTCAGGATGTTATAGTGTTTAGCGTGCCGTAAGAGCCTCTTTTTCACGCCCTGCCTCATGCTCAGTCTATACCTGCTACACATTGCCTTCACTTATGAAAGGCTGCTGATAGGAATTGGATACCTAAGCTAATTCGTGTTTCTTTTTCACTTTCTAGCCCCGTGTATTGAAGGTTTCGAGGGTCTCTGCTTCAACCAGAAAATTAGCGGGTACTACACTCCGGGTACGTTTCAAGAATATGTAATCAGTGCCGCAAAGTAAGTAACGAATGCGCTTCACGCTCCCCGTATCCCACTTTCTCGATGCATATACATCTGTAAAATGAGTAAGGAGTACAGTCAAGACTGACCCACCCAGCTACGTGACACCCATCCCGGAGTCTCTACCGGGAGAGCTTGCAGCCCCTATGCTCTGCGCGGGCGTGACAACGTACTCAGCGCTGCGAAAAAGCGGCGCAAAACCGGGCCAATGGGTCGTGATCGCCGGCGCGGGCGGCGGTCTCGGCTCGGTGGCGACGAGCCTCGGTGCGCGGGGGATGGGATACCGCATCATTGGCATCGACATGCCGAATAAGAAAGAGAGCGTCCTCGAGTCCGGCGCAGAGCACTTCATCGATCTGACGCAATTTGACGATGCGACCATCGGGAAGGAGGTGAAGAGGCTGACGGGCCTCGGCGCGGCAGCTGTGATTTTGTGCACAAACAGCAACAGAGCATACGGGCAAGCCATATCCAGTACGTAATCTTGTGTTTCCCTTCCGTACTTCCTCCTTTTCAAAGGTCCTACCTCCGAAATCAAGCCAACCACGTTCATATCATCATGGGCGGTAAAATTCTAATGCCAGAGTTTTTGGTATACAGTGCTCCGGTTCGGCGGTAATCTGGTCTGCGTGGGCATGCCGGAGGGCGAACAGGTGCCCATCGCCAACGCATATCCGTCTTCAATGATCATGCAGCACCACAACATCGTCTCATCGGCCGTAGGAAACCGTCGCGAAGCCATCGAGACACTAGAGATGGCCGCCCGCGGTGTAGTTAAGATTCCGGTACGCAAGGTTGGGATGGAGAAGCTGCAGTCAGTCTTGGAGGATATGACGAAAGGGAACATTACAGGGCGAGTTGTGCTGGAGATATCTTCTGCGTAATGTAGGTGGGTACTGTGAGAATCGTTCACGTCGAGCTACAACTGAGTGTCAGATAACATGACGAATCACAACTTCAAGTCTGCATGCGACGAGAAACGGCGTTACCCTGGGCCGTATGCGAATTGTATCTAGTATAATTATCCATGTTAGCTAGTATGCGCCACTGTACGAAGAACCTTTTACGCCCGGTCAGTTCCGACGCTATGTGCGAGAGGTAAATTTGTGTCTACTCCCTGAGGTCGCCTGAATCGCTGTCCGTACACCGGTGATTTGGGCAGAATGCAGCTTTTCCAGCTGCTTAGTCTGCATATTCGTCTTTCTTTACGCTTCAATTAAAAGCTAGCCTTGTCAGCAGGTCCATATTCGTGCTCGCGAAATCACGGTTAATATCTATTCATAGACCAGAAGTCTCCCGGCCTACAGTATTGATAACAGGTAAATTAAAATCGCACCCAAAGGCACTTGGTATATCATGCCAAGTTATTGTAAATCTACATGAATGTACACAAACCTATTATAGCCATACACTCCATGGTAATTAATGTGCATGACGAGAAGGGGAAAGGCGATCATGATATACCAACTTCATGCCAGCCGATCCTACATATACCAGATAGAAAATCGACAAAATGCACGTTTCATTCACCTAAGCGCCTGCTCTAATCCTAAAACAATAGTGATACTAAATCCACCAGGTATCATTGAAATTGATCTTTAATCCAGAAAGTAGTGAGGTTCTAGGTCCCAGGATAAATATCCCGCATGGATTGGTATATGCGGCGGAATAAAGATATATCATCCTCTGCAGGGACTCTTATCCCACCTAGTCTCTATATCTCGCTTCCATTACTGTAAAATACATTAGGCGACGAAAGACATCAGGCTGAAAAGGGAGGTCTCTGTCTCGTCGTTAACCAGGTCTTGGACCTGGTCAGATGTAAGGCTAGTGGGAAACTCGAAATCGTCAAGGACCTTGATAGAGACAGTGGAAGAGGCGGAATCCATGACGACGGCGACCTTGATGGGGCTGTCGACAGGGCGGTCGATGTAGTGAGAGTCACCAACACCGTTGGCGAAGTGGAAGGTAGACTTGGCACGGGTCTCACCAGGGCTGAGGATCTCGACGACATCCAATTCACCGCAACCACCTTGCAGAGGGCTCTCGTTGTCACCCTTCCAGCAGCTGCATGAGGCGTATTGGGCGGTTCGGGGAATAGCAGCATTAAGCAACCAGAAAGCGGGCATGTTCTCGTTAGAGCCAGTCTTTCCACTCTGAGGCATAGAGAATTCGACAACAAAGACCTTGGAAGCACCCTCGAATCCCTCTGTACTCTGGTTAGTCATGGAATTACATAATTTCCGAGCATAAAGAAAATTTACGTACTGTAAGCAACAGAGTCGGGACGGGTGGTACCGCACGAGGCGTCACATGAAGAGTCAGAGAAAATGGCGATCTCCTGGGAATCGTCAAGTAGCTTGTCCTTCAGTACGGTAGGAGAGGCAGCGGCCGAGGAGCCGTCCTCATTCACGTATGCAAGACTGGAGCCCCAAACACTTTAACATAGTGTCAGTTATCAACATATCCATGAGCGATCTGAGCATGAACTCACGTATCCCAAGTACCGGAAACACCAGGGCTGCCGACATTGGCCAAGAAGACCAAACCATCAGCTGTAGC